TACTGGAACCATCCTGTCCTGTTTTTGTAAATGTTTTGATATTGTCTGCTGTTTTTGGGGTATTCAGTAGTTATTTTTCTCGTTTATTGATGGTAGATTTATTTGTTTCATCCTTTTTTTCATTTGGTTGTTTCTTAGCAGGTGAGCTGTGTCTTCGTTGTTGTTTGCTTGTCTGTGGGCATGATAGTTTTTGCCTCCTTATCCAACTGGCAGCGTCAGTCGCTCAGATATGGTACAGCAGGGCAGGTCTAGCTGAAGAGGAGTTACTGGGATGGGTTGTTTGTGGCACTTACTGCAGCTGCCAGGGCGGGTCAGTAATCAGTGCAGGGCAGGTTCTGGTAGGCCGTGCCTCTGCTGCTTGGTGATGTGACGTTAAGCGCATGGTGCAGGTAGGCAGGATGTAGGGCTGAGATTGTTATGTGTGGAGCTAAGATGGATATGGGAGAGAGGAGAGAGGAACAGGAGCCAAAAAGACACAAACAAACAAAAAAGAGTGTTATTGGAGCTTGCTGTTGGATTGGAGAGATGAGAGACTATTAAATGGAGAAAAACAAAAAGGCGAAGAAGAAAAAAAAAGAAAAGAATGAATAATAAAAATCAGAAAGGAAAAAAAACAGCAAAGCTCCCAGGCATTCTACCGGTGCAGCTATGAAGTCTGGGGAAGTTGTTCTCAGGTGTTGCAATACAGCCTGGCTAGAAGGTGTAGAGGTATTCAGTACCAAGTATTGAGGGAACAGAAAGAGAAGGAATGTATAGAGAGACGAGAAACTGAGTAATGAATAAAGACAAAAAGGGAACAAGAGGGAAAAGAAAACAAAACAAATAAAAAAAAAAAAAAGAACAAGAAAAGCCCCCCAAAGAAAAGAAAAGAAAAAAAAATCCACGAAAAAATGCCTTCATTGATCCCTCTGCACATCTGCGCAAGCTGAGACAGTAGGCCCCAAGCCGTGCAGCACCACCTGGCCAGAACTGGCTCCCAACTCGAGAAAAGGAAAAGAAAACAATTCAAAACAAACAAACAAAGAAAAGCCCCGGGATCCCACCAGCGCTGCAGCCCAAACCGGAAAGCAGCTCCACACCCAAACAGAGCTCCGCAGCCCCTCAGGAAGAAGCAAAGATGGCGCACGGGGCCAGGTATTTGAGTGAAAGTAGGAGGAGGTGGTGAGAGGTAAGGAAGAAATCAATAGAAATGGAAAAAAAGCTACAACTAATGGCACTCAGAGAGCCAGCCAGTGCGGGGGTGGGGGGGTGGAATCCAAGCGTCCGGTGTTTCCCAGACAAGAGACTGTGGCTGCAGGAAATAGAGGAGGCCGAATGGGGGTGAAGAAGGGTGGGCGGTGGGGCAGCGTATTTTGCAAATTACTGGAGCTCCACAGCCCCTGACGAAGAAGCAAAGATGGCACAGGGAGCCAGGTATTTGAGCAAAAGGAGGGGGAGGTGGTGAGAGGTAAGGAAGAAATCAAAAGAAGTGGAAAAAAAGCAATGCTAGTAGCCAACAAATGGCACTCAGAGAGCCGGCCAGTGCGGGCGGGTGGAATCCAAGCAGCTGGTGCTTCCCGGACAAGAGACTGTGTCCGCGGGAAGCAGAGAAGGCTCAGTGGGAGTGAAGAAGGGTGGGGGGGTTGGAAAGCGTATATCACAAATTACCAGTTGTTCTGTCTCCCACTGGAAGCTCCATGAAGCTGCTTTCTCATACCCCCTATTTGCTGGTCTCTGATAGGAGTCCAAGATGGCGGATCTGCACTGCGTTAGCTGATCCGGGACCTCTGCATGAATCTCTCCTCGCTCTCCGTTATCTGTCAGTTTTCTCACTCCATTGGTGCTTGGCTGAGTTCTTTATCTCTTCATTTGATGTTTCAGGGTTTCAGGATTGTTGTTTTCTCTGTTCGGCTTAGTTTTTCGGATCTTTTCCATGGAGGGACAGTATGATGCTTCTGCCTAGAGCGCCATTTTGCTGAAGTCCCAGATGTTTCCAGTTTTAACAAAAATGTGGAAGAAGATACATTTCACTGTTGGTAGAACCATACACTAATGATTTTGACTAGTTATCTTCTCCAGAAATACAGGCCCAGTCACCATTATTTCTGGTGAATACTTCTCCATGAAATATTGAAGTGTCTCCACTGAAGTATCTCTCCACCAGATCAGTTCCACAAACACCTTCTACAAACACCTGTGACAGTTTGTTTTCCTTTTAGGATAAGCTTTTTCTTGTGACTTACTTATTGGGATACTTTCTGAAACGAATTGTTTCTCAATATGAAATTGCAGATAGAGGATGTACTAATGTTCCAGATGTTACTTGAGTGAGATTTCTAGCAATCTATAGCAAAACCTTCTACACAAGATCCTACAACTCTGGAGATAAAAGATCCTCCATAGATGTGGCACATGAACATTTCTAGAAAATAGTTATCTTTTCTAATGTTAGCCAAAATGCCTAATCATGGGATAATACATTATATGCATCATTTTCCAAACCTGTGTTGCTGGAATATTAGTCTTAGGAGATAACCGATTGCCATTGAGTTGATTCTGACTCATAGTGACCCTAAATGACAGAGTAGAACTGCCACATAGGGTTTCCAAGGCTGTAAATCTTTACGGAAGCGGACTGCCACATTTTTCTCCTATGGAGCGGCCGGTGGGTTCAAACAGCCAACTTTTCGGTTAGTAGCCAAGTGCTTAACCACTGCACCACCATGGCTCCTTCTTTAGGAGATAGTAACAGATATTTTAGTGTGTATGAGGGTGTTGCCTAATAAATTTAGAAAATTTATTTGGTGGGCATGATGGGAAGAGTAGAGACTTTGGAAATCAGACAGACCTGGTTATAAACCTATCATCCATTTTTCTCCAAGGATTCTCCTCCCTCAGTTGGGGACAATGATAACCATCTCATGGGTTTATTGTGATTAAATAAGATAAGAAATAAAACATTATTCCTGGCCTGATCTAGATGATATTACTGTGAACTCCCAGTGAGTTCTCCCCAGTGTTGTCAACCCTCTTGAACATTTGTAATATAAACCCCATTGACTCTTAGAATATATAGAACAATAACGAGTGATCCAAAGTAGGTCTCTACACAGTTTACTCCTTAGAAACCTAGGGGTACTGTGAAAGTGACTTAAGGGCCATCCTGTGAGGAGATGGGTGGCAGAGAGTTCTCGATATGGATACAGCTTTGCTTTTATGTGCTTTATATCTATATACCGAAGACTCTAGTCAAGACCTGTCCTAAACTTAAGACACACATTCCCAGCTGTCTCATAAGCAACTCCACTTTGATGTCTAACAGACATCTGAATTTAATATATCTGAAACCAAACTCATGATTCCTCAAACCACCCTGGATTTCCTTATCTTCCTGAATAGCAACATTATGATGATGATCAGACCCAAAATCCTGGAGTCAGGTTCAATTTACTTTTCTCTTGCTCAATCCACTAGTAAGTCCTTTGGGCTCTTTCTTCAAAGTATATCCCAAATCCCTTGAATTATCATCATCTCTACAATATACTCCCTAGTCCAAGGATTACTGCAATAACATCCTAACTGGAATACCTGCTTCTACTTTATCCCCTTCAATCTGCCATACTTACAGCAACCAGAGTATTCCTTTCAAAAATAAGCCACATCTTGAAGTTCCTCTGCTCAGAATCTCCCTTGGCTTCCTATCTATTTTAAAGTAAAACCAAAGACTTTGCTCTAGTTTAAAGACCCTCTGTAGTCTTAGATTCTCATTCCTACTCTAACCTCATCACCCCTTTGCTAGCTGAATTCCAGTCACCCTAGCCTCCTTTGTAGACCCTCAAGCACTCAAAGCATGTTCCTGCCATAGGATCTTTGACTAGTTTCTCTATCTGGAATGCTCTTCTCCCAAAAAGCTACATGTTTTACTCCCCACTTTTTTCTACTCTCTGCTGAAATGTCTGCGTATCAAAGAGGGAGGACCTCTTTGTCCACCAATTTAAAGTGACTTACCCTATTCCTAGATAACTCCTTATTTGCTTTGGTTACTTCCTAACTCTTACTTCCTCCTATCATTGTATGTATTTATCAAATAATTGGCTTACTGCTTATATCCCCCATATACCCTAAGATGTAATCTTGATGAGAGATGAGGCATATCTGTTTTGTTCAGGACTGTATCTCTAGCACCTAGAAAAGTGCCACAAACATAGTAGGCACTCAATAAATATTTAATGATTGAAAGAATGAATGAATCAGTCAAGATTCTACTTAAGATTTTATTTCAAAAAGTATTCTGCTGCCTAAGAAAGATTCAAAAAAAAAACTCATGAAAACCTTTGATTGATACATAGGTTTGTGATAACCTTTTGAATCGTACATATGCATAGCCAGCCTTTTTTATTAATGTTGTCAAACTGAATACACAATAGCATACCCATTTTTAACATATGCATGAGAAGTAAGAGAATGTTTTGTGACTTTTGTATTTCCAGTAATTTAAATCAGAGCTTCTCAACTCATGTTCTGTAAATCAGAAACTGGTGCATACAGTAAGGATTTAATGAATGTTACCTATTACTATTTGTATGCATAATTTCCTTCCCTATGCACATTTTTTTTTTCTTTTTTAGGTATTGGAGATATAGTGAAGAAATGAAAACCATGGATCCTGGCTATCCCAAGCCAATCACAGTCTGGAAAGGCGTCCCTGAATCTCCTCAGGGAGCCTTTGTCCACAAAGAAAATGGTATGCAATGTGTGCGTTATACATTTCATGAGTTTATGGAATATTTTAATAGTGCATTCTCCTTTTTCACTGTGTTAAATTAAACCATTGGAAAGCACCATACTAGGGCTATATTCTTCCTAGATTTACATTTAATATTATGTTCTAGACATTTTTATTGTCTCAACTTATTTAGTTTATGAAAATCATAAGGGAAAAATTAAAGAAGTATTTTTTTTTTTTTTAGTATTTTTTTATTGTACTTTAGAAGAAAGTTTACAGAACGAATAGTTTCTCATTAAACATTAGTACACGTATTGTTTTATAACAATGGTTAACAACCCCACGACATGTCAACACTGTCCCTTCTTGACCTTGGGTTCCCTATTACCAGCTTTCCTGTCCCCTCCTTCCTTCTAGTCCTTGTCCTTGGATTGTTGTGCCCCATTAGTGTCGTTTTGTTTTATGGGCTGCCTAATCTTTGGCTGATGGGTGAACCTTGGGAGTGACTTCATTACTGAGCTAAAAGGGTGTCCGGGAGCTATACTCTCGGGGTTTCTTCAGTCTCTGTCAGGCCAGTAAGTCTGGTTTTTTTTTGAGTTAGAATTGTGTTCTACATTTTTCTCTGGCTCTGTCCAGGACCCTCTGTTGTGATCCCTGTCAGAGCAGTCAGTGGTGGTAGCCGGGCACCATCTAGTTATACTGGACTCAGTCTGGTGGAGGCTGTGGTAGTTGTGGTCCATTAGTCCTTTGGACTAATCTTTCCCTTGTATCTTGTTTTCTTCATTCTCCCTTGCTCCTGAAGGGGTGAGACCAGTGGAGTATCTTAGATGGCTGCTCACAGGCTTTTAAGACCCCAGATGCTACTCACCAAGGTAGAATGTAGAACATTTTCTTTATAAACAGTGTTATGCCAATTAAGCTAGATGTTCCTCGAGACCATGGTCCCCACAGCACTCTTTCTGGCCGTTTGGTCCCTCAGGGAGTTTGGATGTGACTATGGAGCTTCCATGACCTTGCCTTGTACAAGTTGTGCTGGCTTAAGGAAATATTTTTAAATGGAGGATATGGATACCTTTGAAGTAACTTCACTTATCCTTCTGCTAAAATTCCTATAAAGATAAGAATAACAAATGTGTGGGACAGGAGCTGGTTACAAGGAAGGCATCTTATAAGTGAGTGCTGAGGCACAGAGACACCTGGTAATAGTACATGCTAGGGATTATAATTTTTCATACACGCCTTCAGTTCAGAGTGTCAGAAAACAAGGAAAATCCCAGCTCAACACAGTCAGGTAGAGTGGATATATGGTTACTTAATAACAATAAAGTGATCTAAGGGCTGCATACTTACCTTGGTATCCATTTTAGGATTTGAGATTAAGCCAGCTCCCAAGTGGATAGTTAGCCAAGCCATGGATAATCCATACCCCTCTATGTGTTGGCATATGCAAAGTCTGAAGCTATCTCTCTTCATTCAAAGATTAGTGAATAGGAATAAGTAATAATAATTTGAAATAGAATGTGTACACAATACTCCAGAACAAAGGAAAAGAAAGAGACATCATTCTGAAATACAGAGAAAAAAACATACCTGATCAAATGACTTACAGTAGGAATCAAAAGAAAATCGTATATTATGTGGGTCCTCATTGCATGCAACAAGAATAAAAGTAAACATAGCTTGCAAGGGCAAAATTAAAGGCATTTAGAGGAAGGAAAGAGCAAAAAAAAAAAAAAAAAGAAGAATTAGGGGGAAATTAAAAATGACACCACTACTGGAAACTACCACTGACCATCAGCATATTACAAGAATTTCAGAAAAATTTACACTGAGGGTAAACTTGGAAGAATTGAGACCCTGGATGAATGACTACCAATCAGAAAAGTAGATGCACAAGTACTGCTTTTGAGCATTGTTATATGTAATGATATGCTACATTCTGCAACAATACCCCACAAGTAAAACACTGTAAGTAGAAGCAAAGTCAAAAAGAACCCTTATGCCCAGATCATAGCACTGGCTGAGAATTAGTTTTTTGAGTGTGTATTCCATTGGTTCAGAGAATTAAAGGGCTAAATTAAGATATAGCTTGTATGTGACAGAAGCAGAAATCCATAAGGAGAGGACAGATTTAGGTGAAAAAAGTATCTATTTGAGAGAAAAAGAAGTCAATAAGAAAACGAAGGAACTCACAATGCAGTCGCATCGGAGGCAGTAAAATCAAATCAAGAATGGACAAAGACTCAGGAAACTCTCCAAATGTAGATGAAAAGGACAAAGAAATGAAAAACTGTGAAAGATGATCATGCTGAAGGCAGAAATCTGAGATCACCCCTAATGATTATAGCTGGTTCCAAGGAAAAGTCTTGAACAATTATCTGAAAAGTATTAAAAAAAATAATAAGTAAACATAATTGGGCAAGGAAGGAGATTTCCTGAGGTTAGAAGAAAAGGACTTATTTTTATCCCAGATAAAGCTAACACTAGCTGACATTTATTGACTTCTTACCACTGCTTTAGACTGCCTTTAAATAATAGCCATTGCACATTGTGTAAAGATATAAACAAAAAAAATTAAACCAAGAACTTACTAGTGATTAACTCTAGCAAGTTTGATAATAAAATTTCTCTTTTCTTGTCTTTCTTTTATTCATTTTCTAAAATGAATATGAAGACTTTTTATAAAATAACTAGTAACTCCCTGTAAGGGTGAGCCCATGCACATGGTATTTGACATTCATAAAATCAGAGATGGTAGAGCACTGAAATGTTTCCTCTAGTCCACCCTTCCACCAGTATAGGAATTCTTTTAATTGAATCTACTCCTAATGCTAATTTTCCAAAAGAAGTCCATAAGCGTAAAATTCAGTTGCAGATTTTTGAAGGATATTTTTCATATTAAGGTGAAATATACCCCTCTGTGAAGCCCTGGTGATGCAGTGGTTAAGACCTTGGCTGCTGACCAAGAGGCCAGCAATTCAAATCCACCAGCCGCTCCTTGGAAACCCTATGGGGCAGTTCTACTCTGTCCTATAGGGTTGCTATGAGTTGGAATCGACTCGATGGCAGTGGGTTTGTTTTTTGGTTTTTGGTTTTTTGTTTGTTTTGATACCTCTGTATAATGTTACCTATTGATATTAATTCTGCCACCTTAACCAATGAAATATGAATACTTGGTATTCATGTATATATGAATATATATATATATATAGGTATGTTACATAAATGGTCTAATTTAATTATCTGGCACAAACACCTCTTCAACCTGGTTATTATTTATAAATGAGAAAACCAACACTCCATTTATACAATAAGTATGACTCAAGATCATACAACTAGTAGACATATATCTAAGGTTTGAAACTAGAATACTCTAGACCCTAAAGAGTGTGATATAATATACTGTCTCCAAAGAAGAAGTTAATATCGTCTTCTACATGATAGTCATTAAAATGGAGCCCTGGTGGCACAATGGTTAAGAACTAGGCTGCTAACCAAAAGGTCGACAGTTGGAATCTAACAGCTGCTCCTTGGAAACCCTATAGGGGCAGTTCTACTCTGTCCTACAGGGTTACTGTGAGTGGAAACCAACTCGACGGCACATAGCAACAACAACAACAGTCATTAAAATAATTGAAGATGTGTCATACCTTACCAAAGTTTTCATTTGGTCATACCAAACAAACCCCAGCTATCTCAGAACGTCACTTCCTAACCATCATCCTCCTGCTCTGCACCTAAACCTAAAATCATCTAAATGTAACAAATCTTTTTGTTTTTAGCCCCTGCAAATAACTACACTATTCCAAATAAGAATTGCCTCACTCAAAATGTAGTGAAATGCTTTCTTTTTAGCACACCTTACTTGACAGCCTTTTAAGTAACTGCATGAGATTTTTAACATACAGTAAAATTGGGTTCCCTCCCCCGGAATGTTTCTACATTAATTGCTGTCAAGATACAACTTCAAGGTATTTTATAATCTCTCCTTGGAAAATGCAGTTTTAAGATAAATACAAGATTTTATGTTTAACTCTGCTGCATTTCGTGTTAGTTGATTACAGCCCAGCTTTTAACCTTCAATAGTTTAGATCTTGGTTCTATTCATTGTATGTATCAATTGTCCACCCCCATACTCACTCTTTTTTTTAAAATCTACAAGTTTGATTCAAGCAACTGTTATTTCCACAAGATTCAGTATATTCATTCACATTTACTAAACTTTAATATTTGTCTTATTAATGAGCACAGAATAATGGGAAACAGAGAACACATAGGCACTCTTACCAAGGAACACCTACTACACAGTCACACACACTCACTCACATATGTACAGATATGTGTGTGTGTTACCAAAGCAACGTATTAATATGCACCAATTAATTTCATTTTGAGTTATTATAAAGTAGTAATCAGTCAGGTGAGGTCAGTCAAAGAAGATGTCCAGAAGGAATAAATTATCCAAACAAAACTGCATTCGGAGAAACACTTGTTATATTTTCTTCGGAATTCTGTGAGGAAAAACAATTAGTGACCAAATACATTTGGGAAGACTGTGTATTGTATTCTGCCTTTGGAGATTGGAACTGTTCATTAGCATACTAAGGCTCTGTGAATTGCTGCATTGATGAAACATAGATATATGTATATATGTAGATACACATCTATAATTTAATCGTTTTTTTTTTTTAATTTATTTAACAAAGGAAACTTTTATATGAAATGTCCTATAAAGTCAGTCAGGATACTCCTTTTCCATAGAACAAAGACTGGAAAATGCCATGTAAACTCATTCTGTGCCAAAAAGAAGTTATCAGATACGTTTTCCTAAGTAAGAAATAATTTGCCCCACTCATTGTGTACTCTGTATGTTTTTCCTACATTCCACAAACCTCTAAAAAGAAATTATTTGTCTACATGACATATCCCTATTTGCAGTACTTCTAGTACTTTCATTTGAGACCAAGGAAACTTCAAATATATTTAATATTAGTTTCAGCTGAAATTTAAATAAATTTTGTGAGTTAATCATGACTATACTGAAAGTCATCTATGTCAATTCTTTATACACTACCTTCAAGTAATACTAGTCAGCTATACCACTACACTACTAAAAAGGCTAACGGATGATCTTTATTTGTAGAATTTTTTTCCTGTTGGAAAATATGGCATATACAAGTGTTCAGGTAAACATTTTATAAGTTAAACAATGTTGTAGGAAAAAGATGTAAACTTATAAAACTGGCGCATTTTTTAACCCAATATTTAGGTTAAAATCATGGCAATTTCTCACCGCCACAATTTTTTCTACAAATGATTAACTGTAATGCAGTTTTATTCATTTATAATCATTTCCTCAATTAACACTTATGTAATAATATTATTATTTATTGCTTCAACAAATAAATGTATTCAACAACTTCTATATTTGATATATCAGAATCATATTACACTAGAAAGACTTTTTTGAACCATATTTTCATTTATTAAAGTGTATATTTAAAGTAAAAACTAGAGACTCCTTTACTTCTTAAAAATACAGGGACATTTTAGAAAAGCTTTTTATTTCAAAATTAGTCTTTTCTACAAGATCTTGTCAATTATTTTAGATTTGCAGAAAAGATTTAAATTAATTGAGGATGTTTGTAGATGTGTTCAAATTAACAATTTACTGTTTCACTTGGTTAGTAAAGGTAGTAGCATGATGATAAATATTTTAATCAATGGAATGCATCTCATAAAACTATAGTCAATTGAATCTTATTTGTTTTTTAAAATAATTAATAAGATGGATAAGAAAATGATTAATTTTTTATTGAAATGAAAACAATAATTAAAATATTAAACTATAATAAGACAGCTATGTTGAACAATGTCTCATTACACTTTTAAGACCTAACAATATAAAAGTCAACAGTAAAGTCTAATATAACAAAAAATTCATCAAATAATATGTTGGAGCCTCATTGATTTCTTTCTCAGAATTTCTCAAATTTGAATAATGCAGGTAAGAATTCATCTGAAGTTGCTATTCTTAATAAGCATAACACTAACAACAGTATTAACATCAAAACTGCTCTTAAAGAGGAAAAAAAAAACTCAAGTACCTGAACATTTCTTCAACCAACTGACATTTCATAAATGAATTTAAAAAAAAAAAAAAACTAAAATATTGAGAGAGACATTTTGTGGGTCAGGGTGGGACAGATTTTGATTTACAAAAGATTTCTGGTTACTTCTTTTCAAACGCTTATATTATTTAACTCTTACTGACTAGATTCCTTATTTGTAACAAGTGTGTTCACTAAGCTATAATTTTACTCCTTAATATGGAGTATGTTACTATAAAATTTGGTCTGCAGACCGTATTAATATGAAAACAGAAACTTCTCAACCTCTGTACACTGTCCAGTAGTTTTGTAGTAATTAGTTTTGGCTAAAAATCTAAAGATAAGGAGGACACTTCCAGCTATTTGTTTTCAGTTTGTAAGCATAGAAGTACATTCACCTATTTTGAAGGTCTATTTAATTCTAAATCAATGCCATTTTTCAACGATGATCGTCTAATGTACTGTTATTAGGCAGGCCCTCAAAATTTCTTCATCCAAGCTTGTTGAGTAATTACATTGGGTTTGATTAGTGTGATCAGATACCAGCTCCCTGCAGAAAAATTTAAATTTACATACGCCTGCTTTCACTTGGCAAACTGCTTTCATTGCAAGACTGTCCTTCGAAACTAAAAGCAACAGCAGAATTTCATGGCATGAACAGAATCATTTCCAGAATGAAATGACCTGAAGTGCTGGCCCAGTCAAGCTGAAGTTTTTTGAGAGACGTCAGAGTTCTTCATTTCATGGATGATATCTATCACATACTATGATATTTTAGGAAGTCGAATTTGTTAAAAGATGTATGAAATCTCTAAATGAGCAAATCTTAGCAAAATCATGAAGTGCTTAGGCTCTAGAACTAACCCAAGATTTAAATCCTACTTTTTCCAGGACTTGGGCATTTTATATTATCTGTGATCCTCAGTATCTTTGTCTGAAAAGTATGGGTAATTAATTCTTCCTCACAGAGTGGTTGTGAGAATTAAGTGAAATTGCATATATCATGCTTTAACACAGTGCCTCCTCCATAATACATGCTCAATAAAATAGAAAAACAAAAACCTCACCAAGGATTATAAACCTCAAGTTAGATATTACCAAAATGTAATTTTTAAAATAATTATAGCATTAAAACTTTTCTTCTTGGCTTCTTGAATTTTATCTCAAGGTAAGAATTATGTCCAAATAGTGACTGTACTATTGGAACATAATTCTTACCTTGAGATAAAATTCAAGAAACCAGAAAGAAATGTTTTAATGCTATAATTATTAAAAAAAAAAAAAAAAAGGCAAAGATATCACTTTGAAGCCTAAGGTTCACCCGACCCAAGCCATGGTATTTTCATTCGCATCATATGCGTGTAAAAGCTGGGCAGTGAATAAGGAAGACCAAAGAAGAGTTGATGCCTTTGAATTATGATGTTGACAAAGAATATTGAATATACTGCGGACTGCCAGAAGAACAAACAAGTCTGTCACGCCTTAGAAGCAAGGATGGCAAGACTTCTTCTCATGTACTTTGGACATGTTATAAGGAGAGACCGGTCCCTGGAAGACATTATGCTTGGTAAAGTAGAGGGTCCACAAAAAAGAGGAAGACCCGCTAGGAGATGGATTGACACAGTGGCTGCAACAATGGGTTTAAACATAGGAATGATCGTGAGGATAGCACAGGACCTGGCGGTGTTTCTTCGTGTTGTACATAGTGTCGCTGAGTCGGAACTGACCCAACAGCACCTAACAACGGTAACAGTATAGTCACCAAGAAACTTGACAAAAAAGGACTGTTGGCAGAGAGAAACGTTTGAATATGTGGTCAACCAAAACCAAAACCTTGGACAATATTCCTAGAAAAATACTTATCTATAGTTTAATTATCATGAGTTTTCAAAGTCTATTATCTGCATCCATAAATTTTGGGGACATATGTATTGCTAAGTTATTTCAGCCTTCCACATACCCCTCCATTCCCACGAGATACATATGTCGCTTGCCAGTATTAAATATACAGTTGTAGATTTATGCCCTGCTTTATCCTTAAAAGGATTAATGATGACTTTAAAAGTTCTATAAATAGGTGACCAATATCTAACAAACTAAGTAAATAAGAAAGCTAAATTAAGGGACAAAAGGAGAAGGGACATAAAATGGGCATAACCTACAGCCAGAAAAGAGGTTATTATACAACAAATACCTATTTGCTTTTTAAGCTTCCTGGAACACAAAGGAAAACATCTCCAAGCTTATAATTTATTGTCCAAATGGCAAAAGCAAACATATTGTTAAGGAGAAACACAATTACTCCTGATACTAAAATGATAAGAAATTTCCCTTGAGGTATGCCATGGAGAAGTCACGTTATAATGTATTGAACAACATCTTCAATAGCAGCCAGAGGGCAAATAGTGTTTTAATTTATTAGGCTATTTCAACATCTTTAAGTATACGTTGATGTCACACTAATGTGTAATTCAGTAACAACAATTCTATAAGCAAGCAGAATTGCTGTGACTGTATAGATTATCATTCTCTTTCTGATGTGGACTAGGGGTAGATTATAACATATCAAGAGAAAGCGATGTACGGCACAGTATTTCAGTAGTCCTTTCTAGATAATATTTCTCTCTCTCTCTCGGCTGAGCTTTCCATATACATTAGAGGGCACCAAGTCACAGACTGCAGTTTCTGCAATACATTTTAGCAGTCAGCTGAGCTGAGGGTAGAGTTTTCATCCTATGAAAATTGGAGCTCCTTAAAATACATGTTTAAAAAAGTAGGCTACTTAATGAAAATTTCTGTACATATACACTTTCACAAATAAGTGGTACCTGTGTGTGTGTTTTCCCCCTAGGCTTTACGTATTTCTACAAAGGAAAGGAGTATTGGAAATTCAACAATCAGATACTCAAGGTAGAACCTGGATATCCCAGATCCATCCTCAAGGATTTTATGGGCTGTGATGGACCAACAGACAGAGATAAAGAAGGACACAGCCCACCAGATGATGTAGATATTGTCATCAAACTGGACAACACAGCCAGCACTGTGAAAGCCATAGCTATTGTCATTCCCTGCATCTTGGCCTTATGCCTCCTTGTATTGGTTTACACTGTGTTCCAGTTCAAGAGGAAAGGAACACCCCGCCACATACTGTACTGCAAACGCTCTATGCAAGAGTGGGTGTGATGTAGGGTTTTGTTTTTTTTTTCCTTTCTTTTCCAGGAGTTTGTGGTAACTTGAGATTCAAGACAAGAGCTGTTATGCTGTTTCCTAGCTAGGAGCAGGCTTGTGGCAGCCTGATTCGAGGCTGACCTTTCAAACCCAGAGGGTCGCTGGTCCTGCACATGAGTAGAAATACACTCATGGGGAAGCTTCCATGATGCACAGTATCTGCCGTTCTTCAGTCCTTTGTCTTTCTTTGTCATTCAGTTCTAGGCCTTTCCTCTGCACGCTCAATGCCCAGTAAATTTTCAGGATTAACTAAAGAAGAGGAAAAAAAGAGGAAAAGATTCTTCTTAAAGGTTTCTAATATTATTTTCCTTCTGAAGTCTGAGCCCATTTCTGGGAGGGGGGAAGCAAAACAGAGAAAACCCATTTCTTTTCTTTTTTTTTTTTTGCTTTAAAGCAAGGGGGGAAAAGATTTAAAAAAAAAAACAAAAAACCCACCATTGAACTTTCAGGAAAGTGTGAAGACCCAAAACAGCTTTGTCTCCAAAGAAGATAGCTCTCTGACTACTTCGGATAGTCTCCTACGCACCATTTTTGTCAGGTGGGAGATCTGGAATACACATGCAGGACTTTAGACTGTTGGGACAGCCATTTTCCAACAAGGGGCCAAAATATCTGCAATATAGTAACAGCCTTAATAATACATCCATTTTTCGTTTTCTACAGCTGTTCTCAGCTATGTCCTCAATGTTTCATTGCATTTATATTCATAGCTATATTCAAACAGGACCTTTTAATTGTTTTGAAGTGTTTCTAAACCCCTTCCTGCCACCTTCCCCTACATCATTGTGATAATCTCCCCAGATTGTATTAGGCCATTGCCCCAGGCCTTTCATGGGTCTGTCAAGAATATTCATTACAAAACAGAGCAAGAAGCAGTTTGTGTCTGAAGTGGATTACAGTGACAGTTATTTTACAAGGATGTGTGACACTAGTGATACATTGGAGTAACCCTTTGAGAACTATCAGATCAGCTTTCAGAGTCTTAGGGATGTCAGCCTTGGTATTTGGTAAATTTTAGAACTGGGCAATGGTAAAAACAGGGCACAGGCTCAAAAAGTTCAGGTTTTTAAAACACATATCCTGTAATCCCGTGTAATTTTTTAAGTGATTTACAGTACTACATAAATGCATTTATAACAAACAGAAATGATGTTACTTGCCAAACGTTTTCTGGCAAATAAAAAGGTATTTTATTAAGTATCTCATAAGAGTGAAATTTTATTTAAACAACTGGTTATAATAGCCTTTTTTTTTTTCTTAGACATATTGAATTTCTTGTTTTAAAATCCATTGCATGAAAATTCACTTTGCCTTGGTACATGCAGTTAGCATTGCCGTTTTAAAAATGAACAAAAATGATGACTCTGAGGTTGCATGAGTATCCTCCAGTGCATTACCTTTTGCATGTCAACCATAGTTCTCAAAGGGTTAGTGTGGCTTCTGGCATTTAGCCATCCATTTGATCACTGACAGAGCCAAGAGACCACCAAAGCATTTCATTATTGAGTGTAATTTGTCCTAACAGCAGTATTGTCATTTTCATGTGACCTGCAGAGCAGGTTTGTATCAATATTTTTTTCCTAGAGAAAAGTCAGCAACTGACAGACCTCTTTATTGATTTTTAGGAGCTGCTTCTTGCAGTGAAAGGCTTTACAGCCACTGGGCTGTGAACTTATTAGAGATGGTCAAAACGAATGCACCCCATGAGTCAGACATTGGCTTTGTGTGAAAGCCAGCTTTTGAGGGGATTAACTTTTGAAACAATGAACAGCTTGCCTTGAACTTGACTATTGATCTGTTGACTGTCATTAACAACAACTTAAACATTGTCTTCTGTGAAAAATTTCCTTGAAGAGTCCTGTTCTATGTCTTTGCCCTTTGACCTTTAACTTGCAAACTGGCACAAATTGAAGGAAATCTGGTGTTGCTTCTCCATTTGGATTGTTTAATTTGTTCTCTAAAATCCTAGTAAGCATGAGCTGTTTCCTTAGAGGGGAGAGAGAAAGAGTATTGATGGTAGATTTGCAGGGGGACACTTTGCTCTTTACATGCACACTCTAAAAATACCCCATCGTTAGAAGTGGCTTTTCCCTTTCCTTTAATATAATTTCATGTCCAATTTTATCCTTTTAGTACAAATTACAAAATCCATCGGGGGGAAAAAAAACAAAAAAAAACCTCAAATACTTGAATGGCCAGTGTGGCTTTTATATAAAGCAGGAATTTTATACTAGTGAAAATTTCTTACTCATTTGCTAATAATACACATTTCCAGATGATTTTTAATGAGTGTAGGTATACATTCTTATTTGGAAATGGATAGTTTGGCTGCCTTGAATTTATATTTATACTCAACATAGCATGAAAATTAGAATGCCTTTTTGTTAAACTACATGTTTATTATTTGGTTGAGAAAATGTTTTGTAATCATGGATGGTATGCTGCAAAGCCTTGCAGATTGTTATTTCTTACAACCTGAGCATATATAATGTAAGGCTAAGAAAAAAAAGAACAGCTAGAACAGAGGTATGGCTTTACAGCAAAACATTATGCAATGCAGACTGTATTTTGATAAGATGTCGGAGATTATGTACATGTGGGCCAAGAAAGCAAGGAGAGAGGACCAGAATCAGCCCTGTAACTTTATCTCAGTGCTTCCATTCTAGATGATGCTGATATCATAAAGAGTTATTCACTGCTACTGAACACGGAGGACTATATACATAAGCTCATTTACACAGTGTTTGCTTGTGAAACGGGTTAATCCTTTAGGACATGATGTCAAGAAAAAATGACTGGCAATTATATTTTGCTAAAGATAGAAATGAGGATTGGTGTCATGTTGGATCATGTGCAAATCGTTGAGGAACTCCATCAACTTGTTTTCAAAGTTGATCTTTTTTCTCTAAAATGAAGAAGAAACTGAATAAGCAATCTATTGCTTCTTCACTCATTTGTCACAATATCTTGATTCATTTTAAGACTATAAATTTAAGGGCTAGAAAATAATCATAGCATTAAGAAGGGAAAGAGACTACCATTATGCTTGAATTCTAGCAAGCATCGTGGATAAGGGTTGGGTCATATTTACTTGAATATGAGGTGAAATTTATGTAAGATGCATGTGGCTGTTCTCTTGATGAACATTTAAATAATTATCAGACTGTGAGACTACAAGAGATAAGAAATCAGTAAGTGCAACATAATCACAAACACTGGGATTCCATTTGCTTATTGAACACCAGGCACTTTGTGAGTATGTTTGCTGACTCCTCTGCCTCTTGGAGTTTGGGGGAAAAAAACTCAATTTTATGGACTAGTGAAAAAGTGACTAATTGCTCTAGCACATATGAATACTGACTCAAAAATAATGCAAAGTGCATTTCTATGGGTCAACAACATAATGTAACAGGTCAGTATCAATAGAAATACACAACTTATCTTTTTTTTTTCCCCCAATCCTATCACTAATAACATGAAAGGAGCCCTGGTTGTACAATGGTTAAGCACTTGGCTGTTAAACAAAAGGTTGATGGTTCGAACCCATCCAGCAGATACATGGCAGAAAGACCTGGTTATTTGCTTCTGTTAAGATTATAGCCAAAAAAACTATATGGGGCAGTTCTACTTTGTCACATGAGGTCACTGTGAGTCAGAATTGACTTGATGGCACCCAACAACAAAAATAACAATGAAAAACTCAGACAGACCTAGGGTTTCCCAAATTAAAATAAAACCCATTCACGATCACAAAAAACAAAACCAAAAAAAAAAACACACGGTTATGTTTCTCTTGCTGTTTCATTATTTTTCATTACTTTATCTAATATAAACCCAAATGTACACATGGCTATGTTCTTTACCTAAATTGTCTACATAGTTTATAATTTTAGTCAAATATTATTCTATATATTATTAGCAGGCCTGAATGAAGAATTAAAACAGCTGATGACCCTACATTCTCTATAAAGCAGTAATTCTACATCAGACCTGTACAGAAGATTGTCCATAATATACCTAAAAATGAGAATGGATTTAACTGTTGACCCACTGAGAACCAAGTGTCTGCTAAGAATGCCATCACAGCATACCAATACAGAGGATTTTTACAATTGAAAAAGTAACATAGCCAAATTAGACACTAGGAAAGGCAATTTCTGTTATCAATCAGAGGGCAAGGCTTTTCTGAATCAGATGTAATCAATTACTAAGTAATGATTACTAAAAAGTAATTACTAATAAAGGATACAGACTTGTTTAATGAAATATGCAAATGTTACTTTTAATGGTCAGATTGCCTATAATCTTTTTCTATTATTAACACACAATTTGGTAGTTTATTACTTATTACTTTGGTGATATATACTTATTGTTATTCCCTTTCCGTCAATGATTAAAAAACATAAGTGTTTTCGGTAAGAACATTGCTGAAACTTCACTGGTAGTTCCAATACCTGGATGGTGGTCTATATAGTGAATCCTCGGGGTAATAATATAATACTTTCAAGTTCTGCATATTATTATGCTGGTATCTCTAGCATGGTACAGACGCACACCCACTTTGTGGGTGTTACAGTAGAATAACCAGTGTGTCCATATTGACTAAACTCAATGTGCAATCTGAAGAGGAATGGATGTTATAATCAAATAGATTGAGTTAACACAAGAGTCATTGAAATAGATATATATTTTTTAGGTTTCAGTTATTTCCAGAAATTAATAAAGACTGTGATTTACTGATAGTATTGAGTCTGTCAGATTGGAGGATATACTGAAACGACCTTGTAGATGTGGTTAGATAAACTTTTTCAGCAAACACAGCAAAGAGTTCAGTTAATTTCATGCTCTCAGGGGCATATTTCAGACTATCACAGATGTCAAACAGAACATGCTGTCTAAACCAAAAATGTTGAATTCAGATGAGCTATTACAAATAGCTATAAATACAATCACCA